GCCTAGGGCCCTAAGGTGGACCCTAAGTTGCTAATCTGACGGTAATTTAATGCCTAAAGCCCCTGAGCTTTTGGGGGCTCCGCCCGCTGGACCTCACGCCAATTAGTGTCCTGCCAGTGTCACAATAAGGTATCAAAATATGCTCATCTAACCGTAATCAAACGCCTAAAACCCCTGAGCTTCCGGGAGCTATGCCCTCTCGACCCTACCAGGGCCTTAAGGCGGGTCCCTGAATGATTATCTGACCGTAATTTATTGCCTTAAACCCCTGATCTTCCGGGGCGAACAATTATGTTCATCTGACCGCAGGCGTGTAGCCAGGGGGGGGGGGGGGAGGGAGCGGTGGTGGCAGTCTCCCGAAAACGCCGGCATAAAAAAGAGAGAAGAGAAAAGAAAAAGGACGTGGGAAAAAAAAATGAGCAGACAAGAACATTTTTGAAATTCACATAAGGATTAAAGATAAAGACCAGTTTTAATATGGTCATGCGATTGCATTGTGAAAGAAACGTTGTGGAATCGATCAGAAAAGGTTGATCATCTAGCATATAAGTATGGTGTGTACTGCAAGGTTCTGGAATCATCAAAATGATAATAAATTTGGCCCAGTCTTCATAAAGTTATAAGCACTGTACACAGAAAGAAGTATATGGGACTACGCACACGTGAGCGACACATGCGTTATATCTCTCACACACCAATAGATAAACTAATTTACCAAATATATCAATTAGTAGGCGGTTTCCCGGCAAAATTGTTATCATCATGTATAAGTCAAAACATATTCTTTCACATGATTGGTAATAAGAGCTTCCATTTCATTTTTTGAAATTGGGGCGTTTCCAATACTGGTCTTAACCTTTAAGAGTCGAGCACGGTACAGCGAATAGTCTTCGTTCTCTAATAGTTTTAATGAAACGTCAAAGCTTCCAGCTTCGCGAAGGAGCGGGAAAAACTAAATTCAGACAAGCATTAAGAGTCGAGAATTGTAATACAAATCGTCTTCTTTCTCTAATGATTTAATGAAACGTAAGAACTTCCACGCTTCGCGCGGGAGGGGGAAATCTGAATTCAGACGAGGATTATTTTCGAGAACGGTACAATGAATCTTCTTCTTTCTCTAATAATTGAATGAAACGCCAAAGCTTCCGCGCTTCGCGCAGGAGAGGGGGGGGGGGGGACTGAATTTAGACAAGGATTTAGAGTCGAGAACAATACAACAAATCGTCTTCTTTCTCTAATGATTTAATGAAACGTAAAAACTTCCGCGCTTCGCGCGGGAGGGGGAAAACTGAATTCAGACGAGGATTGAGAGTCGTGAACGGAACAACGAATCTTCTTCTTTCTCTAACGATTTAATGAAACTTAAGAGCTTCCGCGCAACGCGCGTGAGGGGGAAACTGAATTCAGACGAGGATTATTTTCGAGAACGGTACAACGAAGACATAAAATCTACAATAAAAAAAATAATCCCTGATCCGTGACTTTCATGTAATTTGACGCTAAACATAGCAATACGGAATGCAATAATATACCCTGTTATGATTCAACAAAATAATATAACATTTGTATGGTGACAACTTGTATAAATAATAATAATGATAATAATAATAACAAATATTTATGAAGCGCACTTTTCTTATAACTTACTCAAAAACATTTATAACTCTCAGTAAATAAAACTGGTTTAACATGTTTCTGAAAGGTTTCCAGGCATTGAATGTTTCGAATGGCACTTGGCAGCTTGTTCCAGAAGACTGGTGCAGCATGCACAAATGCACGGTCCCCATAATGGGTGGTTCTGGTTCTGGGGACTTCTAGGATGTTAGAGGCAGAAGAACGGAATGAGTAATGGGATTGCTTTATGGTGAGGAGATCTTTCAGGTACACTGCAAAAACAGGGGGGGGGGGGTTAAATTTCTAACACCAGTATGGTATTGAATTTTTTTGACACCATTGGTGTTATTTTTAACGCCGGTCAGATTTAAGCATGCATTAATAATTACTTGGTGTTAAGTAACATAGTGCTGTTTTATGCTCGGTGTTGAAAGTTTCATCACGTGATTTCGTTTAAGGTGGTTGATTGGTCGAATAAGTTTTCACAAAGTGTACGCGCGCTTAATGATTACTTTACACGTGTTCACAGAAGAATACATTTATAATGATTTGTTAAGCAAATTATGACAATGCATATCAATTTTGTGATTTGTATTTTCCTTTGGCAATTATTGACCAATAGATTATTTGTCCGATCTTGTTACAATTACATTAACGTTTTAGCAATAGATATATTGATTATAAGATTACTACTAACCAAGAAACAACATGCATATTTATTGTAAATTCGTGTACCAGCCTATATCATTTAAATGTTAATCTTGAAATTACTTCAAATGATATATGTGATGGAGTTAATAATGCAATGGAGATTTACCTATTGGTGGACAGTTGCCAACATCGATTATGAATTATCAGTTTACCATTGGTTCTTCTACCCTGGTCGATAATGGTCGATAATAGGAAATATGGAATGTGGGACCATTGGATCAACAAGAATATAAACACCAAAAGTGGAATTGAATTTGTTATGATTCCAGATATTGTTGTTAATCTACACCAGTAGGAGTTGTCAAATATTACCACCAAGAGTGGAATTGAATGTGTTATGATTCCAGATATTGGTGTTAATCTACACCAGTAGGAGTTGTCAAATATTAACACCAAAAGTGGAATTGAAATGATCTATTTCCAGAAAATGGTGTTAAGTAACATCAGAGGAGTTGTCCGATTTGGATACCAAGAAAGAGTTAAATTGAACACATTTGGTGTTAATTTTAACACTCTGGTTTTTGCAGTGTACTCAGGTGTAGTGTTGTGGAGTGCCTTAAAGATACTATGTCCCTTTTGCAGCCAACCTCCAATTCTGTAGAACTTTGCAGGAATTGTGAATATGCCATGTTAGTCCTATCTGTGAAATTTAAATGTTAACAGTCTCATCATATTCAAATTATGCAAGAAAATCCGTTTACTTGCTAGACTTCACTATCAGACACTATTGAGTAACTGACTGGTTTTTTTTCTTTGGTAAAAACATACATAAAATGAGATGTAAAGGGTACATGAGCATTTGTCTACATCAATAACCCACTTCTTGTAAAGGCTAAAATTAAACTGATTGAATCTTTGTGCAGCATAAAACGTACAGCCATTCGGTACAATGGTCTGAATATCAAGACTATTACCTATTGGCTCTATAGCTCCTTAGTCGATTCGACAACTAATAGTCATTATTCTCGTACTAACAGACATTTTCAAGCCCCCTTCTTTTTAGGGAAGTTCTAAATTAGTATTATCTTTCAAATGCCGTTGGAATTTAACCATTTCATTTTTTTGGCCTGCAAATGGGACATAGTACCTTTAAAGACAACCGTTAGGATTTTGTATTCAATCCGTATTTGAACTGGAGATAAATGGAGAACCAAAGATTGATAAACAAATTAAAAGCAAATGTGTCGACTTTGGCAGGTGTTCTAGAATTTTTAGCGGTACTGTTTTCAAATCGAATCTGTCTATTAAGGTCGCACAAAGGAAACAGAAATTTACCCCTATAGGCATGTGACGTATAGGCCTACAACATTTTTTTTTCTTTATTTACGTATACATATATTGAGTCATTATACTATTCTTGATAAAAACAGAGTGGAGATGGATGTGTTCTTAATGTCAATGACTTCGGGAGGTTCACTACCCTCTCCCGATCCGCTTATGAGCAACTTAAATCTGCATGCACCAATATGTCCGCTAAACTTTAAAAGACACTTTTTGGTTTTGGTTTTGTTGATTCTATTTTTTCTCTTCCTTCGTAATACCTGCCTTAATAAATAATAATATAATAATAATATTTAACTTTTATATAGCGCTTAATACAAATGTCTCTAAGCGCTTTACAAACATACTATTACCCCCTCTCACAATTTGTCGGTGCCATTCATCTAATAAAAGGCTAATACACTTTTAAACGATAATGAAGATTAATTTCAGCCTTTATAAAGTTCGCGATAAATTGGAAAGTATCTCGATCTTTATTTTTTGAAAATCCGCAGGCGAAGAAGCAATACCACATTGCTCTTTTAAGTAAATTATTGGTGTCATTGACACAATGCAAGCTGGTAAAAAAAAAAAAAAAAGTTAAAATAAATTTGACTAGCCAAGAAATATTAAAAAATCCGCGCGTATTTCACATGAAGAGCTTTAACATAAGGGACAAATCTGGAAGTTCTAAATAAAACTGTCTTCAGAGTGCTACATTTTTCATTTCCCCCGTTTGTTTCTGCAGTCGCCATTCTTGGTCAAGTATTTCAGACACGAAACCTGCATATTTCAAAATGGCATTCTGTGCAGAAGAAAAGCGAGTTCAGTGTAACAGCAAGTACATGTGTGTATTTGTGTTTATGCTGTTATTCTCGTTTGTGGAACCGGAAGAAGAGCAGTGTCCAACATCATGTAAATGTGCATCTGCCTATGTCTACTGTCGCAATCAACTACTTACCGAGGTTCCGACTGCCAACATATCTCTTGGAACTAGGGGAATTGATCTATCTAAAAATAACATTCGTATGATCCAGACGGAATCCTTTCCAAACCTGACCAGCCTACAAAGATTGATTCTAAACCGCAACGCCATATCTATTATTGAACCACTTGCATTTCAGCACATGTCGGCTCTCACCATTCTATACCTGTCTAACAATCTCATGACTGACGTGAGTTTCATGAGCCTCCTCCCGAAGATCTTCTTGATCGCGATTTCAAATTTAATCCAGTCATTGGCTATCAAGGATTCTCCCTTTGTGGTTTTCGATTCCCTTGACATATCCTTTAATTTCATTAGATCTTTTGCAGACAGTTGTGTTGTCATCACTGATCTATCTGCCGATTCATGCGGGATCAGGGTTTTTGACATACCAGAATCCCAGACAGCGTATGCTGTGCGTACGATCACCATGAGAAACAACTTCATCAGGTCTCTTCCAGATCTAAGTGGTCTCCCCCGCCTTCAGCTTCTAGATCTGCAAAACAACCTCATCCAAAGAGCTGCCCATGTTATACCACACAAGCTCAAATCTCTGTCACTTGACAACAACTCACCCAGCTCTCTTCCGAAGATCAGGCTTGGTCAAAGCCTCACAGTGCTCAAGATAGGTAGAAATCGCATCGAGTCACTTGTTGGGTTTGGTGACACTAACGCATTAGAGATCCTTGACTTGAGTAACAATTCTTTACAAGATGTATCCCACATACCTATAATGGACGGACTTAAATATGTAACGCTTTCCCATTGTAATCTTCATGGTACGTTGGAAGTAAACAAGACAATATTCCCAAGCCTCGTATATCTTAACGTTGCATACAATGATATTACAAATATTTCCGTACTAGAAACAAAGCGTCCAGATGGGATAAGTCAAAACTATGCTGTCATCAATTCAGTCTTCACTTTAAAACTGAGTGGGAATAGACTCAGTGATCTTAATTTTCTCAAATCTTTTCCAAATGTAAGAACCCTTGAAGTGGATGACAACGATATTTTGGCATTCAACCGACACAATCCCACATCCTTTCAACAACTGCATGTGCTATATCTTCAACATAATAAGATATCTGAGGTGGAACAATTCCAGAATCTGACTGACTTGCATATTGTTTCATTTCTCGATAACTATATTACTTACGTTAGTCCAACGGCTTTCCTGGGGTGTAATAATCTAGGAATACTTGTGTTGAATGATAACAGACTAGTTAAATTGCCAGCATTGACACAAATATTTTCAAACTTTGTTAGTCTCCACGTGAGAAATAATGAAATAAAAGAAGTTTTTCTTAATAATCTAGAGTTCAAATTCTTAACTTCAATTGATCTTTCTAGTAATGGGTTGACTAACATTACGTTAAACGGCGGTCTGGCTCTTACCGAGGTCCTGCTGCAAAACAACAATTTGTCAACATTTGACATGTTGGATCACTTACCAAGATTATCTATTGTGAATATGAGTTACAACCAGATATCCAACGTGAATACTTGCGAGTTTAATTCGAACACAGCAATTACATGTGTATTTGATGGAAATTTGTTGCCAGTTTTAGTTTTACCATATACATCCACCGTTCGATTTCTTTATGCCCGAAAAAATAGAATCGAAAACTTAACGAGAATTGTCCCTTTTGCGCAACATTCCGTGGCAAACGCTACTACTGACCACTTGGCGTGTAGGATAAAGAACTTATATCTCGATTCGAATTTGATTTCATACCTACCCTCGTTCATATTCGAAGGTTGTGATCAGCTCATGACCCTCTCCTTGTCTGATAATCCTATCAGTGTAGTTGAGATGAGCGTATTCCTGAATCTCCCTCAACTTGTATCACTGGCAATATCGCACACACTAATTCCTTACATGCCCTTTGAACAATTGCTCTCCCGGCAAGGTAAGAGCATGTTTCATTCGCTGTACATGGATAATGTGACCCTCTTCCATCGACGTGATGCCAGCAACGAACCACTTAATCTCACGTTGGCACTTGACAGGGAACTATTCCTACGATACAACTCCTTTATCACCATTCCATCAATTAAAGCGATGCATGTTGCGGAACTAGATCTGTCATTTAATAACATCAACCTTCTGGAGCGAGATTCTTTCAAGTTGACACCAAGAATCTCGTATTTGAATCTCAAGGGTAATGCCATCACAAGCATACAAATGCATGCACTGAGATTCAACATGCACCTTGTCTTGGTAAACCTCGAGGACAATCACCTTCAGGTCATCGGCCATGAAGCACTTGTGAAGATGGGCCACTTTGATTTCCTGCTCGGTAACAATGACCTTGTCAATATCTCACCCCTGACCCTGCCAGAAGTCTCTCGTTCCATTTCTTTCGATCCCAATCCTTGGCGCTGTGACTGTTCCCTGCATCCATTGTACAGATGGTACATGCGTTCCAACGAAAACACGTTGACCTGTTGGACACCAATACATCTTCGAGGAAGGACCCTTGCCACACTGACGGATGAGGAGCTATGTCCGCTGATCAGGAACGTCAGCAACGAAAATGATATTTCTGGTGAAGAAGCGCCAGATATTCTAAGCAATGGGGTAAAGAAACTAGAGTTAAAGAAAAGTATTCAAATCCTTGCAGGGGTGCTGTTTATTTCGAGATTCCCTGGGCCGCGATTCGTGCAAGGTTGATCCTTCTAAAACCTACCAGTGATACAAATATGACGGTTAATGAAATTCAAGAAACAAGCCTTATTGAAAGTCTTCTTGTACCTCGGTATCGTGTGCTTTCTTTAACCTTCAAGATAGAGTATGTCGTAGGGAAAGGGTGCATGTGAAAATAATTTTCAAGATACAAATACAAAAACTCAGTTCTTGATCTAGCTGCTGCAGCCTCTCGTGAAAAAAATGGTTTACTAACATATTCAAACTTGATGCATACTTTTTAACAAATGTTGTTCTTGACAATGAATTTTTCAGTAGAAAATCTGTAATTTACCTGTAGTGGAGGGGAAAATGGAAATAATAGTTGTAATAATAATAGGCATTTCTAAAGCGCCGTCTATCTAGAAATTCTTTTTCGAGGCGCATTTATTATTACCCCGGCTTTAGCCTAGCTGCCGTATACAGCGCTCCAGCATTTCAAGGAATTAATTCCTGCCAGGTACCCATTTACATCACCTGGGTTGTGTGTGGCAAATGTAGATCAATGTAAATAATAACATGTACATTGATCTAGCCTTTTAGCTTTTTGTTTAATGTCGTTAATGTTTATAAATGTTATTGAGTACTCTTCATCTAAATTAATTGTGAAAGAAAACTTGTGGCACTTATTGGGAAAGATTGATTAAGTAGTACAGTAAGAATTCATGTTTGTAAGCTGTTCTAGGTATTAGAATAGTCAAAATTGAAAGAAATTGAAGTCACATGTACTGCACACTGAAATGAATATAAAGACTTACATACATGTCTCAAGAAACTTTGCTCACAATTTTTATCCTATTTCTCATCATAATTATTTGAGATATGAGGGGATTTTATGAGTAATCCTTTTCATGGGATGTTTCTTCTAGTGTATGCCTTTCCAACATGAGAAGAAAGAGAAAGTTCACAACTTATTTTATTATTTGCCCAAACCATGGACCTACTACGTTTTCTGTAAATAATTTCAGGTAATAAAATGGTCTCCTCCTGAACTATACTAGGCTGATTATTTATCTCTTTTTTCTTAAATCCGAACCGAACAGCAGTTGAATTGTTGTTGACTCGCACCAAGGTTATTGATACCGTTGTAATCCATATAGATGTTGCGCCTTCGCTATTTTTTTTGTTATTCATCAAGCATCGTTCATTTATCCATGCACGGCAATTTGAAATAATTTTAAATACAAAAAAAAAACAATACAAAGAAAAAAATGTTATTGGATTTTAAATGCATATATTATGTGGGTTAGGTGTAGGGAATTGGAGACCGTAGGGAATTGGAGACCACTAAGCTTGAACCCATCACTGTCTGTCTGTGTTGGCTCCAATATTGCTATTCTGCCATATGTGGCATTTAACAATTATACTACTGCATATATCCAATTCATTTCGAAGACTACAATGCGTTCTCTCTCCGAGAAAATTGGCAAAATTGACCAAGATAAGCAATGTTGATCTTATATAAAAACATAATTTTTCCCTAAATGTTGTGGTGTATGCAGAAATTCAGGGGTGGCTCTTAAAAAGTAGTTTTAAAAGGAAGTTTATGAAGTGTGCCAACCAGCAAACAAAACTTATGGCCATTGTGTGTTGTGATTGGGTGTTGCAATGCACATAATGAATGGTGTCTGATCAGAAACGTGTGTAGGCAATTGGGGACACCAGGTTCAAGATGGGGGCCTACTTTCCTCCAGTTGTTTATTTCATGTTGAAAGACTACCATAAAACATATTTGGTGGTTCGTGTCACCATTCTAATTTGAATGCATTTAAAAAGTTTTTAAGAAGTTGTTTCTATGCTGTAAGTTTGTTCAATGTAAAATTCACATTGCCAGAACATTATTCTGAAAGTATTTAAACATAATTTAAAGCACCTTTATTACTGTAAATAAAAAGCTACGGAAATATTTTTGGCCACATTGTTTTAAAATTGTCTTAAAATTACAGTAAGTTTATTTGCTGCATGTATCTCTTTCAAAAAGTGTTTGAACTAATTATAACAATTCCATTTTCATTCAAAATATATTTAAAATGCCTTGATTTGTAACTATCCCTTATTACCTACACATGTAGGTAATGAGAGACTTTTGGTGATGGCGTCATTAATCATTGATATCTTATTAATCAGTTACATCATGACCACAATTTTGTTACCAAATAAAGAGAAGAAGTAACTGAAGAGAAAAAAAAACTTTCTGTATGTGTAACATTTTCCATGTTTATGTAAATTATGCAAATGTGCTTAAGGGTCTCTAATTTCCAACACCTACCCTATATCATGATGCTTTGCTCAAGGCAAATTCCATGATATAATTGGAGCTGATTGATATTTAATGTTGTTTCATTTGATATAGGCCTAATTAATTTATTTCATAGCTTCATTACTTCAAATATTTTGTGTGCTTTATCATATATAATATGTCTTGTAATAAAGGTGATATAAGTTTTGAAAATATAACATGTTCATTTGAAGAAAATGTTACATAGCGGTTGTAGTTTTGTTTTTATATATATACTTATGCTAGTGTCAACAATCATATCTGATTGATACACGTCTGTAAAAACCCAATATACACACAAACACACACACACACACACACACACCCCACACACAAATTTAATGTGCCTTTCAAATCGCACCTATATTCAACTGTTATACATATTTGCCCCGTAAATCATGGGTACCTTAAAGGTACAATGTCCCTTTTGCAGTCTACATCAAATTATGTAAAACTTTGTAGCCGGGAGTTCTGAATATGTCATGTAAGTCCTATCTGTAAAATGTAAACATTAGCAGTGTCCTAGTATTCAGACTAGAGAAGGAAACCCGTTTACCTTTTAGACTTCACTGCCAGACACTATTGGATGACTGACTGACATGTTTCTTCTTTGCGGGTAATAGCATACATAAACTGAGCTGTAACAGGTACATGAGCATTTGTCTACATCAATAACTCAGTACGTGTATATGGTTAAAGTTAAACTTATTGAATCTTTATGCAGCACCCAACGTGCGACCATCCAGTAAAAGGGTCTGAAAATCAGACTATTACTTAGGTGATTGCAATCACTTAAGTCGATTCGACATATAATGGTCGTTTTTTTCCCACAAAAAGCCATTTTCAAGCCCTTTCGTTTCGAGGGAAGTTCTAAATTAGTACTGTCTTTCAAATACCGTTGGAATTAAACCTTGTCATTTATTTTGGTCTGTAAATGGGACATAGTACCTTTAATCACCTTCATACTATTGAAGGCAACGAAATCTAGGATATGAAATCTACTTATTCCATATAACTTAAATTTGTACCGAGTATACAGAAGAAAAAAAAACCTGCAAGCTACGCTGACAAATTCAAACAGACAAACGGGCCATCCCTATCGCCCTAGAACCATGACATGAAATTGTTCAATTTATTTTTACTATTAGTAGTAGTAGTAGTAGTAGTAGTAGTGGTAGTTGTAGCAGCAGCAGCAGCAGTAGTAGTAGTAGTAGTAGCAGAAGCAGCAGCAGTTCTTGTAGTAGTAGTAGTAGTAGAAGTAGTAGTAATAGCAGTAGTAGTAGAAGTAGTAGTAGTAGTAGTAGTAGTAGTGGTAGTGGTAGTATTTGGCAAAGACAACATTGAACAAACGGTGAATATTATACGATAAAGTTTGAAGTGAGTCTCATGGATGCCGGGAAAAGAAAACAAACATATTGACTAAATAACTGCTCACAGAAGGTCTGCTATTAACATCCAATTTTCTTAACATGAAAAGCACAAAAAAGCACGATGCAAAAACTTATAAATTGCAAGTATAATATAAATATATATTGCCGCTCTGTGTACACGTATTATGGCACCAGAGGAACGAAATATTTTGTACACATAAACCAAAGATTGTATGTACGCAGGAACCTGAAGAGGGCGCTGTGCAACTAGCGTAAACAATGGCTACAACTAAAAAAAAATCCTCAATGTTTCAGATTGTAATGAACTTCAGAAATGTTCAAAATGCATACCATGCAACAGAGATACCTACGAGCGGTTTAAATAATAATAATATTTAAGTTTTATATAGCGCTTAATACAAATGTCTCTAAGCGCTTTACAAACATTCATTACTACTACATAACACCTACAATAACAAAAAAGTCATGTAATTTCATGTAATTTGACACTATTTAAAAGATACGAATAAGGAATAAAATAATTTACCCTGTCATGATTAAAAAATATAATATTGGTTTGTTGACAAATTGCAGAAATGGAAAACCAAAGATTGATAAACAAATTAAAACCAAATGTGTTGATTTTGGCAGCTGTTCCAATAATATCGATTGGTAAATGGGTGTAATAATCGGGAGCGCCAGGAGGGACAAATCTGACTGACATGAGCGCTATACAAGAACCCATTATTATTATTATTATTATTTCTGTTTTTATAATAAAACCTTTCTATAAAGTTCTTACAAAGGAAATAGACAGTTTGCCTCTGTAGGCGTTTATAGATAGGTTCTACACTTGACAAAACCTGAGTGGAGATGGATGTTTTCTTAATGTCAATGACTTCGGGAGGTTCAATACCCTCTTCCGATCTTATTATAAGCAACTTAAATCTGCATTTACCAATATGTCCGCCAAAGACTTAAAAGACACTTTTTGGTTTTGGTTTTGTTGATTCTGTTTTCTCTCTTTTTTTCGTAATACCTGCCTTAATGAAAACATCCCTCCCAATGTATCGGTGTCATTCAACTAATAAAAGGCTAGTACACTTTTAAACGATAATGAAAGTTAATTTATGCTTTTATAAAGTCCATTAAAAATTGGCAAATATATCTATCTTCATCTTTCAAAAATCCGCAGGCAAAGAAGTAATAACTATAAAACTCTTTAAAGTCAGTTATTGGTGTCACTGACACAATGCAAGCTGTTAAACAATTTTTTTGATATGTTTATCATTTGTCTAGAAAGAAAAGAAAACGAAATTACGTGGGTATTTCGCGAGGAAGGCATAAAAGATAAGGGACAAATCTGGAAGTTCTAGATAAAACTGTCTTCAGAGTACTACATTTATCATTTCCCCCGTTTCTGCAGTCGCCTTCCTTGTTCAAGTATCTCAAACACGAAAACTTCATATTTCAAAATGGCCAACCCTGCATTCTGTGCTGAAGTAAAGCGAGTTCAGTGTAACACTAGCAATTACATGTGTGTATTTGTGTTTATGCTGTTATTCTCGTTTGTGGAACCGGAAGGAGAGCAGTGTCCAACATCATGTAAATGTTCATCTGCCTATGTCAACTGTCGCAATCAACTACTTACCGAGGTTCCGACTGCCAACATATCTCTTGAAATTAGGGGAATCAATCTATCTAGAAATAACATTCGTATGATCCAGACGGAATCCTTTCCAAACCTGACCAGCCTACAAAGATTGATTCTAAACCGCAACGCCATATCTATTATTGAACCACATGCATTTCAGCACGTGTCGGCTCTTACCATGTTGTACCTGTCTAACAACCTCCTGACTGACCTGAGTTTTATGAGCCTTCTCCCGAAGATCTCCTTGATCGCGGCATCAAATTTAATCCAGTCATTGGTTATCAAGGATTCTCCCTTTGTGGGTTTCGATTCCCTTGACCTATCCCTTAATTTCATTAGATCTTTTGTAGACAGTCGTGTTGTCATCACGGATCTATTTGCCGATTCATGCGGGATCAGGGTTTTTGACATACCAGAGTCCCAGACAGCGTATGCTGTGCGTACGATCACCATGAGAAACAACTTCATCAGGTCTCTACCAGATCTAAGTGGTCTCCCCCGCCTTCAGCTTCTAGATCTGCAAAACAACCTCATCCAAAGAGCTGCCCATGTTATACCACATAAGCTCAAATCTCTCTCACTTGACAACAACCCACCCAGCTCTCTTCCGAAGATCAGGCTTGGTCAAAGCCTCACAGTGCTCAAGATAGGTAGAAATTGCATCGAGTCACTTGTTGGGTTTGGTAACACTGACGCATTAGAGATCCTTGACTTGAGTAACAATTCTTTACAAGATGTATCCCACATACCTATAATGGACGGACTTAAATATGTAACGCTTTCCCATTGTAATCTTCATGGTACGTTGGAAGTAAACAAGACAATATTCCCAAGCCTCGTATATCTTAACGTTGCGTACAATGATATTACAAATATTTTCGTACTAGAAACAGCGCGTCCGGATGGGGTGGGTCAAGACTATGCTGTCATCGATTCAGTCTTCACTTTAAAACTGAATGGGAATAGACTCAGTGATCTTAATTTTCTCAAATCTTTTCCAAATGTAAGAACCCTTGAAGTGGATGACAACGATATTTTGGCATTCAACCGACACAATCCCACATCCTTTCAACAACTGAATGTGCTATATCTTCAACATAATAAGATATCTGGGGTGGAACGATTCCAGAATCTGACTGACTTGCAAATTGTTTCATTTCTCGATAACTACATTGCTTACGTTAGTCCAACTGCTTTCCTGGGGTGTAATAATCTAAGAATACTTAAGATGAATAATAACAGATTAATTAAATTGCCAGCTTCATCGCAATTTTTAAATTTGATAATTCTCGAATTGAGAAATAATGAAATACAAGAAGTTTTTCTTAATGATCTGGAGTTCAAATTCTTAACTTCAATTGATCTTTCTAGTAATGGGCTGACTAACATTACATTGAACGGCAGTCTGGCTCTTACTGAGGTCTTGCTGCAAAACAACAATTTGTCAACATTTGACATGTTGGATCATTTACCAAGATTATCTATTGTGAATATGAGTTACAACCAGATATCCAACGTGAATACTTGCGAGTTTAATTCGAACACAGCAATTACATGTGTATTTGATGGAAATTTGTTGCCAGTTTTAGTTTTACCATATACATCCACCGTTCGATTTCTTTATGCCCGAAAAAATAGAATCGAAAACTTAACGAGAATTGTCCCTTTTGCGCAACATTCCGTGGCAAACGCTACTACTGACCACTTGGCGTGTAGGATAAAGGACTTATATCTCGATTCGAATTTGATTTCATACCTACCCTCGTTCATATTCGAAGGTTGTGATCAGCTCACGACCCCCTATAAGTGTAGTTGAAAAGAGCGTATTCCTGAATCTCCCTAAACTTGTATCACTGGCAATATCGCACACACTGGTTCCTTACATACCCTTTGAGCAACTGTTTTCCCAAAGTAGGAACATGTTTCATTCGCTGTACATGGATAATGTGACCCTCTTCAATCGACGTGATGCCAGCAACGAACCACTTAATCTCACGTTGGCACTTGACAGGGAACTATTCCTACGATACAACTCCTTTATCACCATTCCATCAATTAAAGCGATGCATGTTGCGAAACTAGATCTGTCATTTAATAACATCAACCTTCTGGAGCGAGATTCTTTCAAGTTGACACCAAGAATCTCGTATTTGAATCTCAAGGGTAATGCCATCACAATCATACATATGTACGCACTGAGATCCAACATGCAGCTCATCTTAATAAACCTCGAGGACAATCACCTTCATGTCATCAGCCATGAAGCATTTGGAAAGATGGGCAACTGTAATATCCTGCTCGGTCACAATGACCTTGTCAATATTTCCCCTCTGACCCTGCCGGAACTCTCTCGCTCTCTGTCTTTCGATCCCAATCCTTGGCGCTGTGACTGTTCCCTGCGTCCATTGTACAGATGGTACATGCGTTCCAACGAAAACACGTTTACCTGTTGGACACCAATACATCTTCGAGGAAGGACCCTTGCCACACTGACGGATGAGGAGCTATGTCCGCTGATCAGGAACGTCAGCAACGAAAATGATATTTCTGGTGAAGAAGCGCCAGATATTGTAAGCAATGGGGTAAAGAAACTAGAGTTAAAGAAAAGTATTCAAATCCTTGCAGGGGTGCTGTTTATTTCGAGATTCCCTGGGCCGCGATTCGTGCAAGGTTGATCCTTCTAAAACCTACCAGTGATACACATATGACAGTTAATGGAATTTAAGAAACAAGCCCATTTGAAAATGTTTAAGTCTTCTTGTACCTCGGTATCGTGTGCTATCTTTAACCTTCAAGGTAGAGTATGTCGTAGGGAAAGGGTGCATGTGAAAATAATTTTCAAGATACAAATACAAAAACTCAGCTCTTGATCTAGCTGCTGCAGCCTCTCGTGACAAAATTGGTTTACTAACATATTCAAACTTGATGCATACTTTTTAACAAATGTTGTTCTTGACAATGAATTTTTCAGTAGAAAATCTGTAGTTTAGTGGAGGGGAAAATGGAAATAATAATTGTAAAAATAATAGGCATTTCTGTAGCGCCGTCTATCTAGAAATTCTATTCCGAGGCGCATTTATTATTACCCCTGCTTTAGCCTAGCTGCCGTACACAGCGCTCCAGCATTTCAAGGAATTAATTCCTGCCAGGTACCCATTTACATCACCTGGGTTGAGTGTGGCAAATGAAGATCAATGTACATAATAACATGTACATTGATCTAGCCTTTTAGCTTTTTTTAATGTCGTTAATGTTTATAAATGTTATTGAGTACTCTTCATCTAAATTAATTGTGAAATAAAACTTGTGACACTTATTAGGAAAGATTGATTGCGTAGTACAGTTAGAATTCATGTTTGTAAGCAGTTTTAGGTTTTAGAATTGATAGTCAATATTGAAGGAAATTGAAGTCACATGCACTACACACTGAAATGAATATCAAGACCTACATACATGTCTCAAGAAACTTTGCTCCCAAATCTTCACTATTTCATTTCATATTCATTTCAGATATGAAAGGATTTTTTGAGATTTTTTTTCTACTAAAGTGTATGCCTTTCCGAGTTGAGACGAAAGAAAAAGTTCACTTATTTTATTTTTCGCCCAAATCCAATATTCTCTCTAAATAATGTCAGGTAATGAAGGGGTCTCCTCCTAAACTACTTAGCCGATTATTTATCTCTTTTTGTTTTTAATTTCGAAACCGAACTATAAAATGTTGTTGACTCCCATCCTCCAAAGTGATTTATACGGCGTCTTGGTTATTTTTGTATTCATCAAGCATCGTTCATTTATCCATGTACGGCAGTTTGATATGATGATGCCCTACTCTAGACAAAATTTCATAGTATAATAAGAGCTGATTGATATTTAATGTTGTTTCATTTGATATATGTCTCATTTATTCAATTCATAGCTTCATTACTTAAAATATTTTGTGTGCTTTATCATTAATATATGTCTGGTGATAAAGGTGATATAAGTTTTGAAAAATAATATGTTCATCTGAAGAAAATGTAACATAGCGCTTGTAGTTTCATATTCATATGTTGTTTGCTGGTGTCAACATCATCGTTGAAAGTCATGTATTAAAATTTTATTGTGATAACTGAAAAAAAAAGATTGAGGTTGAATTTTTAGTTTTATTCTTTGAATCATCCTTACAAAAACTAAATTCATTGATTCATCTAAATCCCATAGACTTGTTGTTTTGTTTAGTAATTAAAAATTAAAAACTTCTTGAAAGAGATTTGTTTTTGTTTTTTGTTTTCTGTTTGCTTTGTGGGAATAGTCCACTCACACGCATATTTATTATTATCCTACAAATGGTTATTCTCTTTTATTATGAAATCTAGCAGGTCACATTTCGTTAAATTGTGTTATTCCGAATGTTCATAGGTCCGAAAGGTTCGTTATTCTGAAGGTTCGTGATCCCGAACGGTTGCTAATCTGAAGGTTCGTGATCCCGAAAGCTCACTACTCTGAAGGTTCGTGATCATGAAAGGTCACTACTCTGAAGGTTCGTGATTCCGAAAGGTTGCTAATCTGAAGGTTCGTGATCCCGAAAGGTTGCTACTCTGAAGGTTCGTGATCCCGAAAGGTTGCTACTCTGAAGGTTCGTCATCCCAAAAGGTTGCTACTCTGAAGGTTCGTGATCCTGAAAGGTCACTACTCTGAAGGTTCGTGATCCCGAAAGGTTGCTAATCTGAAGGTTCGTCATCCCAAAAGGTCTTTACTCTGAAGGTTTGCCATCCCGAAAGGGCGCTACTCTGAAAGATTGTGATCCCGAAAGGTTGCTACTCTGAAAGATTGTGATCCCGAAAGGTCACTACTCTGAAGGTTCGTCATCCCGAAAGGTCACTACTCTGAAAGAGAGTGATCCTGAAAGGTTGCTACTCTGAAAGATTTTGATCTCGAAAGGTTGCTACTCTGAAAGATTGTGATTCCGAAAGCTCACTGCTCTTAAGGTTCGTGATCCCGAAAGGTCACTACTCTGAAGGTTCGTGATCGCGAACGGTTGCTAATCTGAAGGTTCGTGATCCCGAAAGGTTGCTACTCTGAAGGTTCGTGATCCCGAACGGTCACTACTCTGAAGGTTCGTGATCCCGAAAGGTTGCTAAATAAATATGAAGGTTCTTGATCCCAAAAGGTTGCTAATCTGAAGGTTCGTGATCCCGAACGGTCACTACTCTGAAGGTTCGTGATCACGAAAGCTCACTACTCTCAAAGTTCGTCATCCCGAAAGCTCACTACTCTTAAGGTTCTTGATCACGAAAGCTCACTACTCTGAAGGTTCGTCATCCCGAAAGGTCACTACTCTGAAGGTTCGTGATCCCGAAAGGTTGCTACTCTGAAGGTTCGTGATCCCGAAAGGTAACTACTCTGAAGGTTCGTGATCCCGAAAGGTTGCTAATATGAAGGTTCTTGATCCCGAAAGGTTGCTAATCTGAAGGTTCGTGATCCCGAACGGTCACTACTCTGAAGGTTCGTGATCACGAAAGCTCACTACTCTGAAAGTTCGTCATCCCGAAAGCTCACTACTCTAAAGGTTCTTGATCACGAAAGCTCACTACTCTGAAGGTTCGTCATCCCGAAAGGTCACTACTCTGAAGGTTCGTCATCCCGAAAGGGTGCTACTCTGAAGGTTCGTGATCACGAAAGCTCGCTACTCTGAAGGTTCGTGATCCCAAAAAGTCGATACTCTGAAAGATCTCCAAAATCTCCAAAAATGAAATAGGGCTCATATTTCCACTTCTTCGACCGCTAATTATGCCTTTAAATTGTTTTTATCAAGAGGTCAGTCATCCCTTTACACTATTTATCATTTTACTCCTGTATCCGCTTTCCTATTAACGTTTCGTTTATTGAGGTTCCTTTTTTTCAATTTTCTTAATTACGAGTCCTAAGTTATTTTCAGTTAACACATTCCGAAAAGTGTATACCTTTCAACCTCCCCCATATAGCTTTAGATAAATGTATGTAGTTTATAGCCCATTTTTTATATAAAATACGAGGAAGATCAAACAGCTAAATCTTGCACAATCCACCTCACACACAATTTAAAACGCACATAAAAAGT